CACCCGGGACTGTCATGTAGGCCGTCCATCCGGACGGCAATGGACGACGCCGGGTTAGCCAGGCCCAGGACTGTTGGAGCCGCGTAACTGGAGGCGTTCGCCGACTGGCTCCTCCAGCTGGGCGACGGCCGTCTACCCGGGCCGGAGGACGGCTTTGTCCAGCTGCCTCCTGAGCTGTTCATGGACGCCGACGTCACTGCCGTCATCGACTGGGTGTTCGACGGGCTCGCCGACCACCACGACGACCACCAGTGGATGGCGTCGCGTGCCGTGCTGGCGCCGCGCAACACCCGAGTGGACGCGATCAACGCGACCGTCACGGCGCTCTTTCTCGGCGAGGAGGTACACCTTCTGAGCGCCGACAGCCTGCAGGAGGAGGCGGAGGACGAGCTGCCGGTACCGGTGGAGTACCTCAACACCATCGGTGCTCCCGGTCTGCCGGCGCACGACCTGGCCCTCAAGCCAGGAATGCCGCTGGTGCTGTTGCGGAACCTGGCCGCCACCGACGGCCTCTGCAACGGGGCGAGCCGCAGCACCGGATGGCAGGCTGGTTAAGTGAAACAGCAGGCCTGCAAAGCAGTACGTGGCACCAGGTAATGTTCTATTTGCAGTAACATGTGTTGCATCCTCTGCCGTGGTTTGTTGTTTGTGTTTTAATTAAGGATCGGCATTCGCAGGTGTATCGCCTTCAGGGCGCCGGATTCCGCGTCGCCATATTGAGTGTCCGGCCCGGAGGGAAGACGACTGCAAAGTTTAACCTTTGCGAAGACGACATCTTGTCAAAGTCTTTCCAAGAGACGGACGCCTCGACGGGCAAAAAAGTCCTCAACACCTATGGAGAGGCCATCCTAAAGGCATTTTTGCATGGTAACTTATATAGAACACTTTTGGCAGTTATAGAGCATTTTAGGTCCCGCAATGTTCCAGTTTTTAAAAATAAATGATACGCATACGGAATTAAATTCAGAAACAAGTTTGAAAAAATACTGAATGTCAAACATTCATCATCAGTGTTTTCAACGACAACCACTCGTCTCTTGAGTAGGTCACCATCGGCCCCTGCAACGACGTGGATGCGACGACATAACGATCGGTCGACTGAACGAACCCGAAGAGGGCCGCCAGGGACCGGTTTGAAATCGGAGCTGCGTGTGATTTGCCGATCGAAGGTGATTGATGAAACGAAGCTCCTGCAGCGCAGGACTGCGACGCACCCCGCAACAGCTCGAGCGAGTCAGCTGACCATCTCGCAGCAGAGGCCGATCGCGATGACAGCAACAGCCCGAGCCAGTCAGCTGACCATCTCGTAGCAGAGGCCGATCGCGATGACAGCAACAGCTCGAGCGAGTCAGCTGACCATCTCGCAGCAGAGGATCACGATGACAGCAACAGCTCGAGCGAGTTAGCTGACCATCTCGAAGCAGAGGCCGATCGCGATGACAGCAACAGCCCGAGCGAGTCAGCTGACCATCTCGCAGCAGAGGCCGATCGCGATGACAGCAACAGCTCGAGCGATTCAGCTGACCATCTCGCAGCAGAGGATCACGATGACAGCAACAGCTCGAGCGAGTCAACTGACCATCTCGCAGCAGAGGCCGATCGCGATGACAGCAACAGCCCGAGCGAGTCAGCTGACCATCTCGCAGCAGAGGCCGATCGCGATAACAGCAACAGCCCGAGCGAGTCAGCTGACCATCTCGCAGCAGAGGCCGGATGTAGTGCAAGTGGCAGTGTAAGTAAAAGTAAAACACTTAATATTTTGACAGGGTACCTACCTTTGGCGGTTCGGCTGTCACATTTACACAGCAGTGGCAAGGTCATTTAGTCATAAATATGGTGTAACTAACACTACACTTCGTAAGTGTTTTATTTTCTCATTGCAGAATGGCATCAATATGTTTTTGGAACTAACAACTTTGTTCTTTGTTTTGCAGCCGCACGCCTCACGCCTCTCTCTCTCTCATATAACATGACTGCTCGGGCTGTCATGCTGGTCGCCGCCCGGAATGTTACGGAGGCCACCCACCCGGGACTGTCATGTAGGCCGTCCATCCGGACGGCAATGGACGACGCCGGGTTAGCCAGGCCCAGGACTGTTGGAGCCGCGTAACTGGAGGCGTTCGCCGACTGGCTCCTCCAGCTGGGCGACGGCCGTCTACCCGGGCCCGAGGACGGCTTTGTCCAGCTGCCTCCTGAGCTGTTCATGGACGCCGACGTCACCGCCGTCATCGACTGGGTGTTCGACGGGCTCGCCGACCACCACGACGACCACCAGTGGATGGCGTCGCGTGCCGTGCTGGCGCCGCGCAACACGCAGGTGGACGCGATCAACGCGGCCGTCACGGCGCTCTTTCCCGGCGAGGAGGTGCACCTCCTGAACGCCGACAGCCTGGAAGAGGAGGCGGAGGACGAGCTGCCGGTACCGGTGGAGTACCCCAACACCATCGGTGCTCCCGGTCTGCCGGCGCACGACCTGGCCCTCAAGCCAGGAATGCCGCTGGTGCTGTTGCGGAACCTGGCCGCCAACGACGGCCTCTGCAACGGGGCGAGCCGCAGCACCGGATGGCAGGCTGGTTAAGTGAAACAGCAGCCCTGCAAAGCAGTACGTGGCACCAGGTAATGTTCTATTTGCAGTAACATGTGTTGCATCCTCTGCCGTGGTTTGTTGTTTGTGTTTTAATTAAGGATCGGCATTCGCAGGTGTATCGCCTTCAGGGCGCCGGATTCCGCGTCGCCATATTGAGTGTCCGGCCCGGAGGGAAGACGACTGCAAAGTTTAACCTTTGCGAAGACGACATCTTGTCAAAGTCTTTCCAAGAGACGGACGCCTCGACGGGCAAAAAAAGTCCTCAACACCTATGGAGAGGCCACCCTAAAGGCATTTTTGCATGGTAACTTATAGAACTCTTTTGGCAGTTATAGAAGAGCATTTTAGGTCCCGCAATGTTCCAGTTTTTAAAACTAAATGATACGCATACGGAATTAAATTCAGCAACAAGTTTGAAAAAATACTGAATGTCAAACATTCATCATAAGTGTTTTCAACGACAACCACTCGTCTCTTGAGTAGGTCACCATCGGCCCCTGCAACGACGTGGACGGGACGACATAACGATCGGTCGACTGAACGAACCCGAAGAGGGCCGCCAGGGACCGATTTTATAGTTATCTGTTGTTAATCACATTATATGGCATGTATTAATGCATAGTATATCCTATCGATGAGGAAGTTTTCAGTTGTACGGGTATTAAGCTTAAATGAGTCACCTTTTCAGGCATTCTGAGAGGAAACTAAAAATGAAGAAATCGGAGCTGCGTGTGATTTGCCGATCGAAGGTGAATGATGAAACGAAGCTCCTGCAGCGCAGGACTGCAACGCACCCCGCAACTGAGCCGGCAGCGTAGTCTTCGGCGATGACCTCCAAGTGTAAAATGGGCATTATGTGGAATACATTGCGCACAGTCCACGACTTTTGTTGAGGTCGATAGCTGATTGCGATTACGTCATTGAAGTGGAATGCCAAGTGATCAAGCAGAATGGCTGCTTTAGCTACTGACTGATGTCCGTGAGACATACCTTCTGTAGGACGCCCTGTACCTACAACATCATGTAGGTTTCATGTAGAGCACCCTGTAGGACATTTTGTAGGATTCCTGTATGACGGCATGTGGGACAGCCTAGAGGATTCCTGTATGACAACATGAAGGACAGCTGCTAGTTTTCAGCTCTCTGCCCCAGCAAACGCAAAACAAAACTCGGGGGGGGGGAGGCATCGAGTTGGCTGCTCTTTCAGACGTTGACGATGGCGAAGACCAACTCTGTGCGTGCGCTGGACGGCTGGCCGGGCGCGCACCAGTTTCAGATATCAAGCCGACACCTGGCAGGGAGGGCTAGTACGTTTGACTGGCTGCTGAGCCAGCACCCTCGTTGGACCACGTCCACTGCACGGACTCGTGTCATCGGCTCTGCTCTGGGCAGCCTTAGCGTGCACAGTGCACACCATGCAGGCTAGACGCAATTTGAAAGCTAGTCCTTACTTACTGTAACGATTAGTGCGACATCGACAATTCCAAAGACATTTCTGTGCATTTTCCTTTCAGAGCGAATCAAGTTCAGCTGAAGATAAGAAAACTCAAACTGACTTCAAAAAGAAGACCCAGCAGCTGCAGGGAACCGGCCCGGGTCGCACCTATCGCCAATATCGATGTCACTGCCGCCACCCAGCCCGGAGGTACGTTTCACTATTCCCGTGCTTCCCGCACCAGCGAACAACGGACCGGGCCGATCGTCGGTCGGCTTTAACGACATCGATAACCCCAACGGCCAGTGTCTTTGTTGGGATGCCATCATCCCATCAATCTTTCAACTACAAGGCCCAGCTCTAACGTCAACCCAGGTCTGTCAGTACCACCGCCAATATCTGACAAGACGACACAATCTAATTCAAACTCACGAGTGGCAGTGCCACTACCATCCAGACGTGCACAGGTGCCTCGACTGCGGGTACTGCCATCACTGCGGTTATGACCTGGTGACAACGTCAGCACACGGGTTCCATCGCTGCTCCTGCGCATACTGTCTGGCAAGGTGTTTTCCACACCACCCGGCTCAAGCTGTAGGTATATCGGTCGCGCCCCGTACATTTTACCCACTTGGTCAAGAGCAACCGGCAAGTTGCTAACCGTTGCCCTCCTCCAAATACGAGTATAGAATCAAGAACCCACAGGTATCACGCCCCCGTCGAAGCCCCCGTGGACTTACAAGAATTACGAACACACCGCAACCAGCCTTTGACACCGCCAGCCAACAACCGCTGGCCTAGCCGTTTCAACTGCGCAACGCTGGTGGAGGAGGACCGCACGGAGACGGGTCTCGGGACGCCACACCATCATCGGTCTGAGAGCCACACGACGACCGGCAACCTCTTTTATGCTATAAACCACACGACGACGACTATTTTTATGCCATAAAAATCCAATTATTACCTATAGTTTTGGTCCCACAAATAAGTGTTTTTGTAGAAAAGTGAGCTTTTGCAACATGTTACACACGTTGTATTAGACAGCTCTGACAGGGGCACTCAAACAGAACCCGGCCTTGTCCGTCACCGAGAAGGATATCGCCAACGCCATCGGCAAGTGGCTGGTCAACAATCGCGACAGAAAGGAAAACAGGGAAACCCCAATGGTTACCATATGGGACAGTCCATATGGTTACAACATGGGGAAGTATATGTAGTTACCATGTGGAATAGATAGGCATGCCCATGTGGTCCCACATGGTCATATGTGTGTGCTACCTGAGCCGAAGAAGACTGCTCTTATCAGGCAGCATCAGAACCCTCCAAAAAGCGGCTCTGATCTTAACCTGTCCATCTCCACCGCATGGAGTTTTGTCGATGAAGTGGTTCGCCTGTTACGCAGCCTGAATGGTGTGTACAGAAGCTTGGCAGGACTCCGATGTCCGTGACGACTTCCAGGCCAGCCCTGGCATCAGAGACGTCGTCGGAGCGTTGACGGGTGTCATATTTCAATACCCAGACCATCTGGAAATAAACATGCCAGTGTGAGCCGAAAGCACACGCATTCTATAAACCTCATGGGGGTGTGTGATGATGTTGGACGCTTTTAAGGCGCTTGCATTGGCTGGCCTGGATCAGTCCACGACTCAAGAGTATTCAAAAACTGCTCTCTCGGCCAGACCCTGACAGAGCATTCCGTGATTGAACCATGCCACAAGGACGCTTTCTGATAGGTGACTAAGCTTTTCAGCTGGAAACGTGGAAGATGACTGTTCGTAACCAAGTGTGAACTCCAAAGTGAAATGGACGAAATGCGCGACACAAACTAAGGCAGGAAAAATGTCGAATAAAAATATATCTAGTGCTCCATCAGGCATTGAGCATGAACATGGTGTGCTCAAAGGTAGGGTCCAAAGATCGAAAAACTTTAAAAATCGCAATAAGCACCTTTGCTAACGACCGTTTGTGTTCTTTTCAGAAGCCATGCTATATGGAACTTGTCGTGGAGTGAAATAAACCCTTATGTTGTTCGAGCATGCGTGAGGCTGCACTCGACGGTAGGCAGAAACAGTCATTGTCGACTGTGACTTGGGTTGGATTGTCGCGGGCCTGGACGCACCATTACCCCGTGTCCCAACAGCGCCACTGGGGCGTGTCTGGACGCGCCCTTGCCGTGTCCCAGCATCGCCCCTGTGCGCCGGCCGGCGGGTCAGGTCGACCGACAGCAGCGAAGTACAGTTCCTGACAGCGCAGCCTTGGGTCTGTGTTCGGCCCTATCGAGGCAGAGTAACTAGTGAGCAGGCAGTCGTAGTTATGTGTAGTCAGCGGTCATGTGAGTGTGAATGAATCATGCCGTATGGAGTGACTGTAGAGTGAACCTGATCAGTGTGTGACTGGAGGGGTTGCCCGAGGCATTGTGTCAGTAGTACTGGGAAGGATGATGTGACGGGGAGCCAATGGGATGAATGATTGATGACGTGAAATGACGTGATGCCCCTGTATAAATGTTGTGTGCGTTCGTGTACCGTTGAGTCGTCGTGGACTGCTAGACCTGAATAGAGTCTACCAAAGTGTTGCCCAGATCTTTTCTTCTACATCTTCCACAAGCTATTTCGGCATTTCGGCATTATCATGGACACACCGACAGAGACGGGCGCTGTGGTGCAGGGATCTGAGCAGGTCCGGATCGGAGCTGGACTCGATCCTCGCCTCATGGACGAGTACGACGGGAGCGGCGACGTCGTCGAATGGCACACGCAGGCGTCACTGCTCTGTGAGTACCGCGGTGTGTCGGCGGCGGAGGTGTTGCCCATGCGGCTGAAAGGTGGTGCTTTCGCCGTGTGGTCACAGCTGTCCGCGGTGGACCGCCGGTCAGTAACGGCGACACGAGACGCCTTGTTTAAGGCGTTCGCCATGGACGACTTCGCGGCTCACACAGCATTCGTCGCACGTCGGCTAGAGCCGGGGGAGAGCGCTGATGTCTTCCTGGCGAGTCTGCGCCGCTATGCTGCCCTGTTCGGCGGCGTGACGGACCGACAGCTGGTAGCTGCCTTCGTCAACGGTCTGCCGGCGTCCGTGGCGGACACAATCCGAGCAGGAACCAGGTCAGAGCAACTCAGTCTGGAGAGCACAGTCGCCCGCGCGCGGGCGGTGCTTGGTAATGACCAGACGCAAGCTGTGGCGGCGGTTCACAATGATCTGCAGCGGCGGCAGCGACCGAAGCGCCCACCTCGTCCCAGACGCTGCTGGACGTGTGGGACTGAGGGTCATCTCGCCGCGGCCTGCCCAAACGCCTCGAGAGACGTGTCAGCGCGAGCACTGTCCCCGGAGCAATAGATCGCGTCCTCCCTGTGATCCAGAGCAAGGTAGACGGTCGTGAGCGGCGTGTATTGGTGACACTGGTTGCACAGACACGCTCGTGCACAAGGATTGTTGTGAGCAGTGGACACCGCGGACGGTGATGATGAGGACTGTGAACGGTGGGTCGTTGCGGTGTAGTGGGACGGCCAAAGTCACCATGGAGTGCCAAGGCAAACGAGTGACGCTCGCAGCCTTTGTTGTGCCTGATCGTCCATTGGGAGTGGACATGGTGCTGGGCATGTCGGGCATCACGGCCCTAGGTGGCATCAGCCTGAGGTCGACCCCCAGGGGCTGGCGCTGGATGCAGCAGACTTCTCGGCCCGGTTCGAGGCACAAACTGGAGAGTGGACGGTGGCATGGAAGTGGGCCGACGGGGAAGGCCCGGAGTATCTGCAGAACCAGGTCGCCCAGTGTGCCGTGCCGCCGGAAGCTCGACCAGCATATGACGCCGAGCTGGAGCTGTGGATCCGGGAAGGATGGCTGCAGCCGTACGACGAGCGGGTGGATGGCCCAGTCCGAGGTTTAATTCCTCTGATGGCGGTCCCGCAGCCAAATCAGGACAAGGTGAGGCCTGTCCTGGACTACCGTGAGCTGAATGGTCACATAATCGCACACACTGCAGATGCGGACGTTTGCGCCGATCAGCTTCGTCGCTGGCGGCGGCATGGCGCTCGCATTGCTGTAGTGGACTTGCGGAAGGCGTACCTTCAGCTCCGGTTGGATCGGCGGCTGCGACCGTACCAGACGGTGGAGGTGCGAGGTCAGAGATACTGCCGGACTCGCATCGGATTCGGCCTGAGCATCGCACCGGCTGTCATGAAGGCCGTGGTACGAGCCGTCATGCTCCAGGATGAAGTGGTGGCCCGAGGAGTGCTGCCTTATGTGGACGATCTCCTGGTGGACGAAGGTGGACGAAGAAATCGTCAGCGCGGACCACGTGGTGGAGCACTTCGCCCGGTACGGCCTGGACTGCAAGCCGCCGGAGCGGGCGGCGGAGGGAGCACGGAGCTCGGACTGCGGGTGAGTGCGGTCGCTGGAGAGCTGTGCTGGCGTCGTGACAACCCAGTGCCGGCGCCCCCGGAAGTGCTGACGCGTCGGGCTGTGTTTGCTTGGTGTGGTCAGCTGGTGTCCCATCTGCCAGTGGTGGGATGGCTGCGACCAGCGGCCGCGTGGCTCAAACGGCGCGTCAATGCTCTAACAGCAGGATGGGACGACCCAACAGAGGACGTGGGGCTGCGCGGGCAGGTCGATCATGTCGTGGCCCGACTGAACGACAGTGACCCGGCTCGAGGCCCATGGCGGCTGAAGGGGGACAAGTTGGTGGTCTGGACGGACGCTAGCTCTATCGCTGCCGGTGTCGTCCTGGAGGACCCCGAGGGTGGCGTCGTGGAGGATTTGAACTAAGAGAGCCGGGGACCCTCTGTGGACGGAATGTTCACCCCACCCAGCTGGAGGGGTTCTACATCGCTCCGTCGGGGCGTCCTTTCCAAAGGCGGTCCTCCACGCGGCTCGGCCGACCACCCTTGACTTCCTGAACACCCAGACGTCTTTCGTTTACTACCACTCCGAAGTTGCCAACACCAAGCTCGCCGGAAAGATTTATCAGGCCGCCTGTGAACTCGAGCGCCAGGTCACTCAAACTCAGCTGGCCGTGCTGGCCCAGTCCCCTCACTTCAGTGGCATCCTTCCCGGTTTTCCGAAGGGTACCTGGATAACAGCAGCCAGTGAGGCATACCACCTCTGGAGGTGCACTCCGGTGAGAATTGAGGTGCGGCATGTGGACATATGCTACGACGGCATCCCAGTGTCCTGGGAGGGTGCCCACTGGTTCGCCCAGTTCCGAACCCGGCGGCTCACCCAGAAAGCAGCAGTTGTTCCCTGCACGGGACTGGCTCCTCAAGTGCTGAAAGAGGGCGGGTCATGGCATGCACTCGCCCCCGACTTGCGTCCCTACCCGTCCCCTGCAGTGCATGGACCGGTCCTGTTCTCGTACCTACGGTCGACCAGCATCGCGTGGGTGGAATCCGGTCTGTACTCTCAGGAAGCATATGATGGTCTTAGGGACCGAATTGATCACCCGTCGCTCCGGAATGCCCGTGTAAGCGAGTACGTCAGGGGGGAGTCGCGGTTCATCAACAACGCGGTGGCCGGAACACCCCTAGCGTGGTCTGGCTGGATAGGTCGAGTGGTCCGCTTCCTGCACTCCTGGCGGTGGCTCGTCGGAGTTGTGGGTTTGAGGCTTGCCGTGGTACTCAACGGGAGACGGCTCACCCACAAGCGAGGCGTGGGTCTGCACACGCTGGCCGCACCGAGCGACTCCATGACACAGTACATGCTACACGACTGGACATCGGGCCTGCACACTCCTAGAGTGCCCGGGCCGAGACTGCTGGAGCTGGAGGAAGGGGTCCCACTTCAGGAGATGACTCCTACCGAGAAGCCTAACTCTCAGCCCATGGACTAGTACTACTAGCCCAACGTAGTGTACGCCACTATTAGGCGGTAGGTTGATGTATATATGCTTTAAAAAAATGCACCCCCGGGAAAGTTGATTACCAGGGGTGCGGACGGGGGCGGGCTGCCCGTCTGGAGCGGCGGGGAGGTATCCACTAAATATCCGCGGCCCGGGGACCTATCCCACAGCTCTCCCCGGGGCCGGGACGGCATATGTCATGGGATGGCACCGTCCCGGCCTGGTATTGACTGTGATATCATGTGTGAGCTCTTTGTTTGATTGGTTTGTTTGTGATTCGTAATCGGCGACCGTTGCAAAAGCAATCCCAAAATAAACATCATGTCATATCGATGTGTAAGCTAGAAGATAAGCTGCCAGCCAGACTAGAGAAAGCTATGGACGAACAGCAAGAGGAGGACCGTGGCGTCACAATATGGCTGAAGGAGCAGAGTGCAGACAATATTCACCAAGATTCACAATTGTAACACGCCACTGATGTGAATTGCAGCGGCGGGTCAGCTATCGCTCTTTGATCGCGCCGACAATGCATGCACAGGGTCACGATGCATCACACTCCGCTTGCTTCTCATTCATCAATTGAGCCTGTTGCTCTGCAACAAGCTCGCGCACCAGCGCGGGCTGCGCAATAGCTGGCTGCTGACCAGGGCAATGGGACCCGTGTTTCTGCACGCTGATAGTCGAGCGTTTCACGAGCTGACCTACCTCATATGTTGCCATCATGTGTGTCATGTCATGTGAGGTTTGCGCCAAACCATGGCCTTTCAACAGGTCTTCAAAAGCACCAGCTTTCCTGCAAACAGAACAACAAAAAAGATTATTGTGGTTATCTGCAATGCTTGGTTGATTTTTTATCACAACTGTGCACATCACATCGTTTATGAAACAATATGAATCTGTTAGCGCTTCTGGCATGTAGATACTCCACTGATTCACTGAATTGACGTCAGACAAAAGCCGTGTAAGCATGTGAAGCTCCTGTGTGAAGCTGGCATTCCAGCTTGTTTCTCTAGAAACCAAAAGCAAAGCACTCGAATAAATAATGTGCTGCTAATGGCTAGAGAAGACTCCTATAAAACCAGTCGGGGGAGAGGGGCATTTAGGGAAGATATTAACTTCATGAACCTTCAATAATTTGAGTTGTGATGTCACAGGCAATCAGGAGCTGCTTGTGACATCAAAGCGTGAAACATGCTTCCATTTTGGGGCTTACGATTTGGTAAATCAACAACGAACGCTTTTAGACAGAACAAAACGCCTGAAGCAGTACCCAAACGGTGTAAAAACGACCCAACTATCATATTTTCACTATAGAGAGTAGGGTGCATCATTCATCCCGATGTCTTAAAAACGTTGTGCCTGTTAATTCAAAAGACTCTGTGCAAAATGCACATGATACATAGCACACAGAGAAAAATCAAAACTGAGCAAAAAAGTCCAGCGACACAGCGGCTCTCAGCTAGACAGTTTAAGTCAACATTTATGCTGGAGAATCACGTCAACAACATTCATGTCGTTAGCTGCACAACACACACCTTTCCTATAACAGCTTATCACGGCGCCTTCGGCAGCCCCTCCAGCCACACACTGACCAGATTCACCCTGCAGCCGAAGCACACGACGACACCGCGCCATCCGTCACATACCTACGTCGTACCATACGGCACACCACACGACGATGACTCACAGTCACATGATCGCCCGTTGTGACTCATTCGAACGAGGCCTCTCATCGGTGGCGGGAGTCAGTGCCAGTGCCACCACACCACTGCTGCTTCAGTCACGATGTGTAGAAGCGCGTTGGATTAGAGTTTAAATTTGACGTAGGTGACGTTTGATATTAAGGCTGGCCTTCTGGAACCTACTGCATGTTGAAACCAGGTCAGGTCTGAGGTCAGTGACCCATGACTTGTCACGCGTGTGTGTTGTCTATATTCCCGTCGTGCTTGCACCAAGCCTAGTCCGTACCGACTAGCCGGGGCCGGCCGCCTGCTCCGGCGCCGGGCGCAAGCGCAACGGCAAGGGCAGCCAGTATCCGCAGACAGCACAATGTCTTCCCTCTCAGACGAAACACCGCGACCCGGGAGGAAACCAGTAACACACCAGAGACGCGGCAAAAGCGCAATATAAGCAGCAACTGAGGCCGCAGGAGGCACAGGCCAGACTATAATCAGCCCTACTGCGCAGCACGTTGCAGCACGCCAATCACGTGGTCAGGCGGGCGGGGGGGGGGGGGCGCAGCTGACGAACGAGGCGGGCCAGCTTCTCCGCGCGAGGCACGGGTCCAAGGGTCAGACCCGGCCCGCGGCCGGGCGAGGCGGCTCGGCCGCGGGCCACGCGGCGGCAGCGGTGCACGAGTCGGAGCTGATACGGACCGGTATCAGGTGGCCGTGGCGTCTGGGCCGGCTGCGGCGGCGGTGATGGCGGCGGGGCTGATGTAGGATGGGACGGCCGCCGGGGCAGAGGCCGGTGAGCTTCGGGCGCGGAGATGGAAACGATGACGCAAGAGCACTTCGGCCGTACATTAGCTGTACCTCACAGCTTTGACCGAACACGGCGGCGACGGTTGCTGGTAGCCATTTGTCGACGGCGTTGGTGATCGCTGTTACGTAGACCCAGTCACCGACCTGAAACTGCCTGTCGGATGCGGACTGGTCCGTGCAGTGTGTTCTCCATAAGCGTTGCCGTCGAGCTTGCAGCGAGGCCTGGGTGCGGCTGGTCCAGGGGCATGAGAAGTGAGCGGCCCCGAAGCAGCTCAGCAGGCCTATAGTGGTACGCGGTGTGAGTTCCTGTACGAGAACAAGGAACGAGATAGCGTAGCTTTGAGCGAGCCATCCATGCGCTTAGCGAGAGCTGTTTTGACTTGTTGACAATCTCGAGGTTTGACCACTGACCAGTGCTTCAGCCTGACCGTTTGAGGCTGGATGGCGGCGGGCTGAACTTGTGCAGAATGCCTTTCTAATGATGGCCTGGAACTAGGCAGTTGTGAACCGGCATTGTCCCAAAAATTGTCAATTTGGGTGGAAAGTGACATCCAAATAAAATTCATTTTCGACTCTCACCATCAATTTTGAGAAGCAATTTTCCACTCTCAACCAAGAATTTTTTCAGAAAAAGCAGTTGGGTGCATGCTCGGTTTGAACTCATACATTCTATACTTTATACTCTGTGGATCTAAATAACCAGCCCTTTTATACTCTCCCCCTTTTTGATGGTTAATTTTCTCCTCTGACACCCCAGCTAGAAATCAATTTTGGGACACACGGTGAACGTGGTGTCGTTGTTGGTTACTAGCACAGCCAGCGGTCCTTTGAAGCTCATCCTCAGCTATTTGATCGCTGCCGTAGGTACTGGAGGCAGTGTGTCGGACGGCTTATTCGGTCGCACCCGGACAGGAGTTCGGATGGTGTTGACGTCAAACGCGGTGGAAGAGGAGTGAGTGCGTATGTTCAGAACTCAGCTGACGTTTGATGAGGTGACGCCGTCACGTGACCGGATGGCAGGCGGCCAAGTGCCGGCAGTTCCGCGTTGCGCAACGCTCCAGCATCTCTTATCTTTGTCAAGGGAGCAGCAAGTTCAGATATTTCTGGAACACGCCTACGATAATAAGTTGCAAATACAAGGAAGGCACGAACATCAGTGTTTTTGGTGTTGGAAAATCTTAAACCACTTGTAATTTGGATACCTATGTCTGGACGATAACCGGCGATCAGGGGCGTAGGCAGGGGGGGGGGGCCACTGGGCCATGGCCCCCCCCTTGGGCGCCGAAGGCGCCCTTTGCGATTGGAGGGCGCCGAAGGCGCCCTCCAATCGCAAATGCAATTGTGATATAATCGAATCGAAAAACAATCGCGACTGGAGGGCGCCCTCCAATCGCGAATGTGTTTACAGGGAAAATACGGATGGAGGGCGCCCTCGGAGGACGCCCATTCCAAATACGCCCTCCAAATACGGTTGGAGGGCTCCCTCGGGCGCCCTCCAACCACATTTGTAGGCTGTAGCTCTCTAAGCGTAACGGTGGTCGCCTATGTAATCCGCTGTCCTGTAAATAAGCGCCCTCTCACCCGAAGGCGCCCTCCTGTAGGTCGCCACCCTGCTACACATTGCCGCCCTTCTGCTGATCGGCGTCCTCATAATTATTGGCGCTCTCCTACCTATTGAGCCCTCATGTGAAATTTTGAAGGCCGCCTTTCTCCCTTTTGGCACCCTCTTGTTCAGTGCCGCCCTCCTACCTATTGGTTCCCTAGTCCTTCCTGTTGAATGTTAATCGGGGCCCTTCTCCCATTGGCGCCCTCGTGTAGATCGCCGCCCTCCTAACCACTGGCACCCTCCTGTTGATCACCGCCCTCCTATCCACTGGCACCTTCCTGTTGACCAGCGCCCTCCGCACAGACGCCCTCCTGTTCGTGTCATCCTCTTGAGCAAAGGCGCCCTCCTCACCATTGCCACCCCCATTTTAATCGTCACCCTTCCGCTCATTGGCGACTTCCAGTTGATGACCGCCCTCCCACCTATTGGCGACCTCTTGTTGATCGCCACCCTCCTATTGGTGCTCTCCTGTTCCTCGCCACCCTCTTACCTGGTGGCGCCCTCCTGTTGATTGTTGATCGGCGCCCTCCTACCTATTGGTGCCCTCCTGTTGATCGCTGCCCTTCTATCCATTGGCGCCCTCCTGCTGCTCGCCAACTTCCTACCTATCGGTGCCCTACTGTCGAAACTCGGGATGTTGATCGGGGCTCTTCTACCTATTAGTGCCCTCCTGTGGATCGCAGCCCTTCTACCTATTGGCAACATCCGTTGATCGCTGCCCTCCTATCATTTATTTACTCCTTTGGCATGTTTTTCAACTTAGTCGTTCTATTGCACATAGTTGATGTCTTGCCTGTGAAAACTGCCACAAATGAACGTGCATTCAGCACAATGAATGAAGTATCTATACCTACCAAAACTATCTACGCTCTACGATGCATAAAACACGTCTTTGGTCTTAACGGATTGATCCTACTTTACGTGCATCATGGCATCTATATGGATTACGATTAAGTATTGTCAACAGGTTCGGGCGCAACAGCAGGCATCTTAAGTTTCGGTGATTGAAACTGGTTATGTGGGTACACTGTATGCATCTGTGAGAAGGCTATGAAGGCTGGTCTGAGGTAATTTGGATGATGTTTACGCATCTCGCGCTCCGGTATCAATCCGATACAGTGATCTGGTGCGTAGATATGCCACCGCCAATAAACTTTTATACATCGACACCCATGAGCCAAGCTTTCTGTACAGTTTGTGTGGCAGCGGCCCGACCAAACCTTAGGTATTTTTTACACCTTCAAATTTGGTAAAAGAGCGAGAGGAGCTTTGAACAGTGATCGTATAAAAGGCGTGCCTAAAAAGCGGAGGAAAAGGTTGTTTTCAAAAATTTCGCGCGCCTTCGGCGCAGCATTTCAAGAACACTTGACCTTTTGTGACCTGGAGTATAAAGAATACACACGATGCAAAATCAATGCAGCACGACCTATACGAGGTTACGCAAAAAAAAAACTGGTGGCATGGTAAAAAACGCCTCCCAACCCCCCAACCCCCACTGAGCGATTTTTTATCTCGCGACCGTATGGCGCCCTCCTTGGGTGAGGTGGCGCCCTCCAAACCCTTGGCCCCCCCCTTCGCGATTTTCTAAATACGCCGCTGCCGGCGATAGCCACCGCTTGACGCTTTGACAAGAATGATTGGAGATATATATGACAAAACTGATGGCTCTATAATTTGTCTTTCTTTCTTGGCTATCTCCCAATG